GATGAAGATGTTAGGGGCCATGGAGAAGCAGTTTAAGAGGGAACAGAATCAAGAATTTGAGGTATATCAGATCTGTAAAGCTTGTTTGACAATAAGTGGGAATCAGAGCAATTCTTTTTTAAGATTTGCACCAGAAGCCTTAAAACAGTATTAATGACAGGTGATAGGACAAAATCCTTGAGGTAAAGTATATGTATTTAGAGGAAGCAAGAAAGCTAGATTTGAGCCTTGGTACTCTCCTAAGTCACACAGAAAAGAAAATCAGCTGATTCCTTTGCTAATGAGGTACTGCAATCCTATCTAGAGTGATGTCTTAGAAGCCAAGTAGATAGAAATGATCATTTGTTGATTTTACCACAAATTAAATGAGCCAGTGTCCTTTAAATTTGGCAGTATACAGGCCACTGTAAACCTGTTCAAAAGCCTTTTTAGTGGATTGTGAGGGGTCATAAACCAGATTGGTTTAGCATAAGGTAGACTGATAAGAACTTGGCTCTGTTACCAGGTTTGAAAACTGTTACTGCCACTATTTTTGAGGCTCTCTGCAAGTCTTGTAACATTTGTACCTCAGCTGCCTTATCTGTATATCATCTCATAAAGTTGTAAGTAATAATTCACATTTTTAAGTACTCAGCACATAAGTGCTTGACAGATGTTTGTCATTCCTAGAGTTAAAGGGTGAAGGTAAAGATAGGAAGAGAGGCAGCACATGTAGACCCTTTAAATGTTTCACTGGAAACCTACAGGTTAGTTAGTGTGAGGCAAATGTGAGGTAAAGGGAGTTTAATTCTTTGGTTTTGGTTTGTTATTAAAGCTGGGTACAGTATATTTGTAAACTGGAAGGTAACTTTGGGACAGAAGTATTTGAGAAGATGGGAGAAGAGGAGTTGTTGCACAGATGACTCATTAAGTGGTACTTTCTCTGAACAGGAGGGAAGAGAATACAGGTGTCACAGCAAACAGATCTGAGAATTTGGTGGTGGGGAGAATAAAAGGAGTTCCTATTTGGTTAACTGTATTTTCTCAGTGGAGTATCAGATGAAACTGGTTAGAATGAAAGAGGAGGGAATGTGCAAGATTTGAGATCAAAGGAAGTCTGTCATAATAACTGAAGCATGCTCATAGGTCCCCAATAAACTATATCTCAATGCTCTGGGATATTTCAGTAAAAATTGCTTTTCCCTCAACAGTCACCCCTTAGTTTAGACATTCTGAGATGTGTCCAATTTCCACTGCATGCCCTGGGGATGGCTTTTCTCTAATGATTATTTTTCTACCCTTAGAATAATATCAGGCTTGAGAGACATTTATTCAGATATCCTGCCACATGAAAGGGAATTTAGAATGTGTGTTACTGAATGAAAGTTCTGTAAGAAAGTGCTAATCGCTCAGTCATGTCCAGCTCTTTGTGACCTTATGGACTGTAACCCACCAAGGTCCTCTGTCCATGGAATTCAGGCAAGAATTGGAGTGAGTTACTGTTACCTTCTCCAGGGGATCTTCCTGATCAAACCCGGGTGTCCTGCATTGCAGGCAGATTATTTACCATCTGAGCCACCAGGGAAGGCCTATAAAAGTTATATAAAATGAGATTATGTGCAGATGGTTTGGAGGAGTGAACTCCAGGGCTTTAGCTGGGTAGAGTTAATTAATTAGGATAGGCAGCCAGGGAGTTCCTAGCAATGCTGCATCAGGAATCTTTTAGGAAATGTGTAAAATAGGAGAAAACACTGGAGACCAAATTGAAATACACCAAAGGTTAAACATTTACATAAGAGAATGTTTAATATAAATGTTTTTATTAAGGAATAGTGACTATAAAACCATGATATGTCTACTTTGTGGAGTTAAAAGAACTCAGATTTTGAGAGACAAACTTTTGTGATTGAGTTATTGGGTTAAAGCACTGTCAGATCCTTATATTTAAGGAAGATGCTAAATGTACTGATGTTTAAGTGTACATGCTGAAAACAAGCAGGGTAGCCACTAAGAAAGGGAAGCAGGGTGGCAGGGGGAGAGGGAAAATTAGAGAAAGATAATGGAGTAAGGAAAAAAAAAAAACCAAAAACCCAAAGAAAGGCAGGAATGTGAGGAGGAAATAACAAAACCGAAATGGAAGGTAAGTAGAAACCACATAATGAATAGTGGAAATAAATCTAAGAAATATCATTAATCCAGTAAATGTAAAAGGCTCAACTTTTCAGTTAAAATTAAGGATCATGAAATAGGATTCTTTTTTAAAAGCAGCTATAGGCTATTTGCAAGGGAAATCTCTAAAAAGACAGGGACAGAAAAGTGAAAAATACAGAAAAAGATATATTAGGCACATGGGAAATGGCAACCACCCCAGTATTCTTGCCTGGAGAATCCCATGGACAGAGAAGCCTTCACACTATAGTCGATGGGCTCGCAAGAGTCGGACACGACTTAGTGACTAAACTACCAAACCATCATCCAAAAGAAAGCTGTTGTATTTAAATTCCAGACAAAATAGTCTTTAAGGCAAACATTACTAGAGATAAAGTCACCAGAGAAGGATAAACATTTCAGTTCACTAAGAAGATAAAATTCTAGTTTTGTATTTTGCTGAATAATATAGCCTGAGAATATTAATAAAGAACTACAGAGAGAAACTGACACATTCACCAGGTATTTTAAAACTATTAGGAGCAAAGTCAATTTGAGAGAAAATCATTTCTATCGTTTTTTAAATCCCTTATGATCGAATGCCTAAAGGGATGGGAGAATGACCCAAACTGTCATGGCCTAGATCTGGCTCTTTCTACTCAAGGGATTATTTCCTCACCCATCGATTATGGATAACCATTCAGGCCTGGCCTCATAGGGTTAAGTGTAAGTTGGAAGGCTTTTGAGAACCCTTTTACCTGAAGTACTTTCAAGTAGGACTGTGTCCTCTAACTGGAGAGTGCCAAAAGCATGAATAGAGTGGGATGGGAAAGCACATGGCACATTTCATTACCCTCAGGTCTCTTTCTCCACTGCCCTTCTGTGTTTTTACAGTACAATAAAAATATATCATTTTCTACAGTGTGATAGGGAAGCTAACAAAACAAGGTGTAAAATAAATAACCATTTCTATCCAAATACACTTTTGTACAAGTTCAGAATACAACATGAAGGAGAATGGTTAGCAGATGTCAGAGTGATAATCCTGAAGAGCTGGGATTATGGATGGTTTGGGGTTTTTTTCCTTCATTTTTTCTGTCTTTCAAGAAGTGTAGATGTATTGTGTAATAAAAGTAAACAACAGAAGTCCACACACTGCACTCCTCGTAGAATTTCTGCTTGGCCTAGTTGGAGTCCTACTATAGTAAGTTTGGTAGAATTTAAGCTTTCAAATCTGACTGCGTAAATGAAAGAGACATATACTTTTACTTGTCTTTCATTACTGTTCTCTACCATTGCAAAAGTACATGACAGAAGAGGCGGACCAGCCAACTGGGTAAGTTTTCCATGTAGGTAACCATAATGGAACTAGAGAGAGAATTCAAAAACTGCTGTTGAAGTTTTCAGTGACTAAGGAGTGTGTTTATTTCCTAGATCTACCATAGCAAAACACCACAAAACTTAGGCCACCAAGTATTTTGATAAGCCACCAAGTCTGGTATTTTGCTCTTCTCTCACAGTTATGGAGGCTAGACAGTCCAAAACCCACAGGTGTGATCAGCACCCTGCTCCCTCTGAAGGTTCTAGGGAAGAATCCTTCCCTGCCTCATACAACTTCTGTAGCCCCAGGCAATCCTTGGCTTGTAGTTGGATCATTCCAGTCTCTTCACATGATCCTATTCCCTTTGTCTCCTCTCTGATGTCTCCAAAATTTCTCTTTATGACAGGAGTTACTAGATGTAGAGCCCACCCTCATCCACTGTGACATCAGCTTAACTTAATGATATCTGCAAAAACCCTGTTCCTGTTTCCAAATAAAGTCTCATTCATAACTGCTGGGGTTAGGACTTAAACATATCTTTTGTGGGGCTTCCCTGGTGGTCCAGTCATTGGGAATCTATCTGCCAACACAGAGGACACAGGTTCGTTCTCTGGCCCAGGAAGATCCCACATGCTGCAGGGCAGACTCGATGGACATGAGTTTGAGTAAACTCCGGGAGTTGGTAATGGACAGGGAGGCCTGGAGTGCTGCAATTCAAAGTGTAGGACACGACTGAGCAACTGAACTGAACTGACTGTAACCCACAACCTGGAAATCAGTAAACCTGGTTGAAACAGTAGTTTCTGTGAAAATGGGCTTAGATACATATGTCGTTACAACTACCAGCATGAGTGAGAGCAAGTCTAGCTGAAATGCAAATTTCTTTTTTTTTTTTAAAAAAAAAACTTAGATCCATAAGATTTTCTCAAAACTATATTCCAGAATGAGTTTTCAACAGGTTACAGTAGCTTGAAGTACAGGAAGGGATATAAGCATATGACATAGCTCTCACACTGAAAGACTTATTAATATATGAAAATTACTCAGCCATTAAGAATACATTTGAATCAGTTCTAATGAGGTGGATGAAACTGGAGCCTATTATACAGAGTGAAGTAAGTCAGAAAGAAAAACACCAATACAATAAACTAATGCATATATGTGGAATTTAGAAAGATGGTAATGATAACCCTATATGCGAGACAGCAAAAGAGACAGATGTATAGAACAGTCTGTTGGACTCTGTGGGAGAAGGTGAGGGTGGGATGATCAGAGAGAATAGTATTAAAACATGCATATTATCATATGTGAAACAGACCACCAGTCCAGGTTTGATGCATCAGATGGTGCTCAGGGCTGGTGCACTGGGATGAGTCAGAGGGATGGGATGGGGAGGGCGGTGGGAGGGGGGTTCAGGATGGGGAACACATGTACACCCATTCATGTCAATGTATGGCAAAAACCACTACAATATTGTAATTAGCCTACAATTAAATAAATTTTTAAAAAATGGATACAAATGTGTAGGTTGGTAATAAAAAATAGCACCCACCCTTTCTCTGGGCTCCATGGATGTGAAGCATGTGAAATAAGCAACATCAACTCTAAAGGCCTAGAGAGGAAGAGAAATTCTTAGAAAAAGCATGGTTAAATTAAGGCGAAAAATGGAGGCAGAACCTTTCAAGTTGAGGTTTAACACATTTGCAGTGTTCATGACACAACTGGCATTTCCAAGGGCAAAATGAAATGTAAGCACAGACAGAAGTAGAGCAGAGAGCAGGTTAGGATTTTTTACTTCAGTTGTACTGACAGTCGAAAAGTAGGGCTGTCATCTACCCTTTGCAGACATCCATTTCACATATAACCAGAATCACTAAAAAGCAATGTATCTGGCTGTATCAGGTCTTAGTTGCAGCACATTGGATCTTTATTGCATCGTGCACAGAGACTGTGTAGCACACGGCCTTGGTTGCTCCATGTCATGCAGTTGGATCTTAGTTCACTGACTAGGGATCAAACCTACGTCCCCTGCATTGTGAGACAGATTCTTCACCTCTGGACCACCAGGGAAGAACCAGTTTTTATTCTCCCTAACTCCATTTAGTGGAAACAGCTAAATGGTTACTTGGGTTGCTGAGTGAATTAATCCAGTAAGGAGACTGACAGAGCAAAGTTTTTGAGATCATGGAGCGATGCAGAATGTGGTCTTTGTATAAAGATGCAATCCCTATTTATATCTCCCAGACAAATCTGAATGACAATTTTGGTTATCTCATTGCTGCACTAACATTCTTTAGTTCTTGAACAGTCTGAACTTCTTACTGTATTATTCAAGGTCTTTCATATTTTGTTCACTTTCTACTTTTCAAGTTTAATCTACCACTAACTTAGAGCATATACTTTATATGTCAACTGAACATAGATTGTTTAATATTTCCAGGACTTGCTTTGCTGTTTTCCACATTAGCAATGTTTCTCATGCCCTTTCATGTGCTTGGAATGTCCACCCATTATAATTCTCAGTTACCAGCTATCAAAATGTATTCATCAAAGGCTGAGATCAGCTATCACTCTTCCATTGAGCCTTTCCTAGTCCTCTCTGCCTTTTTCCTCTCAGAAATCATAGGTTACCAGTAATTGAGTCTTCTATAACATGTCAAAATTCACATCAAGTTTATTAAATGTAGTCACTTATTTCCATTTTATAGTTGAGGAAACAGAATTTACATAGCTAGTAGTTAATCATTTTTATTAATTTTTTTACAGATGAAAAATAGAAATTTACATAGTTATGAATTAACTGTTTTCAAAACATTATTTTAATAGTGCATCTTCAGAGATCAATTGGGAAGCTAAAGGCTATTTATTCCAACCCCTTTCTAAAGTGAACAGAGGCCAATAAAATGAAGCAATTGGACTCAGCAACTATAATTAGCAGGATGGATCTGGCAGAGTACCAAATCAGTTAATCTTAACAGCTTGATAAGGTTTGCAAAAAAATGACATTGAAATTATGAAAGAGGGACTTCCCTGGTGGTCCAGTGGCTAAGATTCCACACCCCCAATGCAGGGGGCCTGGGTTCAATCTGTGGTCAGGGAACTAGATCCCACATGCTACAACTAAGAGTTCACATGCTGAAGCTAAAGATCTCACATGGTGCAATGAAGATCAAAGATCTCGAGTACACCAACTAAACACCTAGAGCAGCCTAATAAATATATTTTTAAAAAAGCATCCAACAAGGTTTAATATCCACTTGTATTAATACCTTTTTCCCCCACAAAACTAGGAATCTAAGAATAGAAGACAGTTTCTTCAAACTGTTTCATCAGACCACCCCCACCAAAACAAATACACTGTTGACATCATGCTTAACGGTAAAATATTGAATAATTTCCTCTTAAGATTGGGAGTAAGGCAACAATGCCCATTGTCATCACTTACATTTCAGCAGCTATATTAGAAGTCTTTGCCAATGTAATAAAAACAGAAATAAAAGGCATAGATTATAAAGAAAGAAAACCATTTTTTTGCAGAGATATTTGAGTATTTACCTTATCTGTCAAACCAAAAAAAACCAAGTTTGGTCATACATTTAAATATAAATGCCAAAACCAAAGAGTGATTATTGAAAAAGATAAAGAGTTTTGTGATTTAGGGATAGGTAAATGTTTCTTAGATCACAGAAGACAAAAAACATTAAAGGTTAAAACTGATAAAAAGTTCATCAAAATTAAAAACTTGTCACCAAAAGACATCTTTAGGAAAACAGGCAAGGAACAGACTAGGAGAAAATATTCACAAAACATATCCTGATACATGACAAAGGACTGGTAAAAAGGATACATAAAGAACTTCACAACTCAATAATTTTTAAAAATCCAATTAAAAACGGCCAAAAGATTAGTATATTTTATAAAAATTGCAAACAGCCAAAAATCTTATGAAAGAGAATGCAACATCATTAATTAGCAGGGAGATGCAAATTAAAACCACTAAAATACCACTGCACACTCACCAAGTTGGATTTTTGTAGAACTGGCACTCTCAGATATTTTTGGTGGGGCTGTAAAATGGAGAAAGATCTGGAAAGTTTCTTATAAAACTAAATATACATCATTTTATGATTCAACAATGCCACTCCTGGCTCTTTACCAAAGAGGTTGAAAACCAGGGGCTTCCCAGGTGTCTCTAAGTGGTAAAGAATCTGCCTGCCAATGCAGAAGATGTAAGAGACGTGGGTTCTATCCCTGGGTTTGGAAGATCCCCCAGAGGAGAGCATGGCAACTCACTCCAGTATTCTTGCCTGGAGAATCTCATGGACAGAGAAGCCTGGTGGGCTGTAGCCAGGGGTCCATGGGGTCGCAAAAGAGTTGGGACATGACTGGAGCGACTTAGCACACATGCATGAAAACCATAATCACAGAAAGATTTGTACAAGAATGCTACTGAAGTTTTTAGCCAAAACAACCCAAGTATACATCCTTAGGAGAACTGATAGGTGGTGTGCTATGCTTAGTTGCTCAGTCAGTCCGACTCTTTGTGACCCCATGGACTATAGCTCGCCAGGCTCTTCTGACCATGGAATTCTCCAGGCAAGAATACTGGAGTCAGTTGCCATGCCCTCCTCTGGGAGATCTTCCCAGCCCAGGGGTCAAATCCAAGGCTCCTGCATTGCAGGTGGATCCTGAGCCACCAGGGAAGCCCATAGGTTAGTCATACAATAAAACACTACCCAGTGATAAAAAGGAATGAATTTCTGATATATCCAACAATATTATATATATATATAAAATCTAAAAAACATGCTCTTCAAAAGAACACTTACACAAACATGTATATTTTGTGTGATTTCATTTATATGAAACTCTAAAGAGACAAAATTAACCAGCCATCCCCCTCCAAAAAAGAATGATATTTGCCTCTGGATGGCTGGGTGTGAGTTTTGATGACATCTGAGACATGAAGGCAATTCTTCACGAGATAGTAAACTTCTATATCTTGACAAGGGTTTGGATTATATATACACATTGGTCAAAACCAAGAAAGTACACTCAAAAATTTCTGCATTTTTCCTATATGTACATCGAAACAGGCAAACAAAGATTGAACTCATTAATATGCTTGCTAAAGTATTTAGGAGATACTGTACTGATGTCTACAGTTCACTGTGAAGTGCATATAATAATTAGATGGATTAATGGGTGCATAGAGAAATGCCCAGATATATGACATAGCTAGTGTAATAAAACATGAAGGATAGTATATAGGTGGTGAGCATATGTTCAGTGTAAAACTCCCTCAAGTTGGCTATATGTTTGAAATTTCTCATTAAACTATTGAAAAACAAAGAGATTTTTAAAAGTTATCTTTGAATGCCACCAGGCAAGGTATAACTTTAGTTAGATTACTGCAATACCAATCAAGTGAGATTTTTCTTGCTCCTTATTTTTCTCTTCCCCTGGTTCAATTCCAGATGAGCCAGAGACCACCTACAGAGAGGGATAAAGTAAAGGAGTCAAATAACAGACTGGTATATCAGAGAAGAAACTAATTTTTTATTCTTTCCAAGTTGCAGAAGGTGGAAAGTTTTTGATTTAGAAGAAGTATGAAGTAGTGACTTCTTCCAGGGAATATTTTAATTTGCAAAAATGATTATAATACTGAGAGTGATCTCAGATTTATTATCTTACAGTGACTGAAGAAGTTATTCAACCTGCCAAGATTTCATCTGTACTCATTTGTGTCTGACTCTTTGTGACCCCATGGACTGTAGCCCTCCAGGCTCGTCTGTCCATGGAATTTTCCAGGCAAGAATAGTGGAGTGGGTTGCCATTTCCTACTCTAGGGGATCTTCCCTGACCCAGGGATTGAACAGGTGTCTCCTGAGTCTCCTGCATTGGCAGGCATATTCTTTACCACTAGTGTAACCTAGGAACCCTCAAGATTTCATCCAGGGGCAGAAAGAGAACACACAGACGTATTCACAGTGGTAGTTAATAAAATCTTTTGTTTGCAAGCAACGTGTGGCATCTTATTCAATTTACTGTATTTGTTATCAGTTGATATGGAGTTTCTGGGTATACAACGCTATCATTCGGAAATTACAATAGTCTTACCACCTCCTTTTCAATTCTTACATCTGTAATGATTTTACTTACCTAATTGCCAATCACAATTTTATAGGCTCAAATAAAAGCCAATATCAGATTCCTGGGCTTCCCAGGTGGCTCAGTGGTAAAGAATCTGCCTTCCAAGCAGGAGACGTGGGTTCAAACCCTGGTCAGACATGACTTAGCAACAAATCAGATACCCAGTTAGTCACAGCCAGGTACAGTTTATGAGTTGCTCAATAGTCTGCTACCATGCAACAGATACACAGGAGAACCACAAGCTTTCCATAACTATCATATAAATACCAACACATCTATAATAACAGACATATTCACAGTTACCTACTAGCTCATTCAGCCAACAAAACCACAAGCCTAAGGCACCACATCATTCTCTACCTCATATAAGTAATTCCACAGTCAGAAAATACCCACAAACCACTTCCTGTTATTTCTCCTCCAGTCACATACAAGTGCATATACAACTCACACCTAATCCAAANTTCCTGTTACTTCTCCAGTCACATACAAGTGCATATACAACTCACACCTAATCCAAAAAAACAGACACACCAGAGTAAACACTACAGGGCAACATGACTCCATCCACTGCCACAATCGTTGCACAGAAGTAGCTGGAGGTCAGACACATCAGGTCAGGCACGGAGAGCCGCCCCTACACACCTAAACACAAACACACTACACTACCAGCTGTGTGCTAGGTCCAGTTTCAGGCCCTAGGGTTTCCCCAGGGATAAAAACCCCTCCTACCCCCAACCCTGGACCAGAGACCTCATCCAGGTCACATCCAGGGTTGACATCAGCATTCCTACCTGGAATGAAAGTCGGGTACTCAGCGCACACAGGCTTGACATTCCTAGTTTCCTCCTTGGCTTTTGCAGGCCTGTCTCTGGCTATGGCATCATCGCTCAACAGGCTACACCTGGCTGTGCATGCGCACTTCTGCAGGCTGAACCACCCTGGAGTCTGGGGCATTTCTGACTCTGCAAATTTTGGGGGAATAGCTTGTGAAGGATAGGTGTTAACTGCCCTCTAAATGTTTGTTAGAATATACCTGTGAAGCCATCTGGTTCTGGACCTTTGTTTGTTGGGAGATTTTTGCTTTTTAAATAACTTTTTCAACTTCAATACTGGTAATTGACCTGTTCATATTTCTTATTTCTTCCTGGTACAGTCTTGGGATAGTATTCATTTCTAGGAATTTGTCCATTTCTTCTAAGTTGTCCATTTTATTGGCATATTTGTTTGTATTTGTATTTATTTGTAATCTCTTAAGACCCCTTATATTTTTGTGGTGTCAGTGGTAACTTTTTATTTCTGATTTTATTGATTTGGGCTCTCTTTTTTCCCTTGACAAGTCTGGCTAAAGGTTTATTAATTTTGTTTATCTTTTCAAAGAATCAGCTCTTAGTTTCATTCATCTTTTGTATTGTTTTGTGTGTATTTTATTTCTGAGCTGATCTTTGTGATAATTTTCCTTCACCTACATTTTCATTTTGTTTGTTCTTTTTCTTGTTCATTTAGGTGTAAAGTTAGGTTGTTTATTTGAAATTTTGATGTCCACATTTTAATTTCTGATATTGCGAACTTGTGTGTTCTCTCTTTTCTGTTGATTGCCTCTGATAGAGGTTTGTCAATTTTATTGATTTTTTTCATAGAACTAATTAAACTTTGATTGATTTTCTCTATATCTCTGTTTTTCTCTTTGCTTGATTTTCACTCTACTTAATTTTGTTTGCTTTGGGTTTAACTGATACTTTTTAATACTTAGAGCCTTGATTTGGAAGGTAGAATTTCCCTCCCTTCTCTGTAGTTCTATTTAGCTGTCACTCACAAATTTCAGTATGCTGTATTTTCTTTATCATGTTAAAAGTTTTACATTTTCTTCATGATTTCTTCTTGACTTATGGATCCTTTAGACATATGGTG